CTAATCTTTTGCCCTTGCACGTCTATCCCTACAGTTGTACTGTCTTTAATGATGTTGATGGCGTCTTCGATGTATAGATTAAAAAGTAGCGGTGACAGTGTGCATCCCTGCCTGACTCCCTTCCTAATATTTACTTCTCTACGTTGCATCCCCAGCTCTATAACTGCCTGTTGCATCGAAGATGGACTTGCTTCCTAATGTTTCGCTAGAACGAGTGGCGAGTTTCCTCGGAGGTCCTTCCATATCCAGCATCGAATATGGACTTGCTTTCATATATTTCGCTAGCACAAGTGGCAAGCTTCTTCGGAGATACTTCCATATCTTGCATTAAAGTGGAGTTGCTTCCTAATATTTCGCTAGAAGGAGTGGCGAGTGTTCTCGGTAGTCCTTTTATATCCAGCATCGAAGATGGACTTGCTTCCTAATATTTCGCTAGCACAAGTGGCAAGCTTCTTCGGAGACCCTTTCATATCCTGCATCGAAGATGGATTTGCTTCCTAATATTTCGCTAGCACAAGTGGCAAGCTTCTTCGGAGACCCTTTCATATCCTGCATCGAAGATGGACTTGCTTCCTAACGTTTCGCTACTAGAAGTTGCAAGCTTCTTCGGAGATTCTTCCGTATCTAGCATCAAAGTGGAGTTGCTTCCTAATATTTTGCTAGCACGAGTGGCGATCTTCTTCGGAGGTCCTTCCATGTTCAGCATCAAAGATGGACTTGCTTTCTAAATTTCGCTAACACAAGTGGCGAGCTTCTTCGGAGATTCTTCCATATCCGGCATCGAAGATGGACTTGCTTCCTAATATTTCGCTTGAACGAGTGGCGAGTTTCCTCGGAAGTCCTTCCATATCCAGCATCGAAGATGGACTTGTTTCCTAATATTTCGCTAGCACAAGTGGCAAGCTTCTTCGGAGACCCTTCCATANAATTTTTAATAAAAAAGTAGGTACATTTCACTTCAACTTGTTCGTTATTTACTTCTGAATTGTGTATTGGCATTTCAAATATTCCTCAATTTCTCGGTATTTGTCTTTCTCGAGGCAAAATCTTCCAAAGCAAAGAAATCTTTCCAATGAACACGTATCTTCGAAATTATTATGAAGTAATGTTTTAATGGGAGTAGACATGAAATCCCATTAAATCAGTATTTATTATCACTCTCTTTATTCATATTTGCAATAATCTCATTAAGAGCGATTTCTGTTGTTTCCGGGAAATCGAGATCCTGAACAGGTACTAATTACGTTTATATTTATGTAGGGAAAATGCAACCAATATTACATTACGTGCTGGTGCTTCCGAGACTAATCAAACAGCAAGAACACCAATTACTGTAGAGGAGGTGTTCCTTCATCCCATGTACAATGAAACAACGCTAGACTACGATATAAGCATTCTCCGCCTGGATGAAGATCTTGTTTTTGGAAGAACGATTGGCCCAGTTTCTTTACCACCGCCCAATGTCGTTTTACCTGCAGGAACTATGGCTACCGTTGCTGGTTGGGGTGATTTATCAGATGGAGGCGTAATCCCAACTCAATTGCAGGCAGTAACTATACCAATTATTTCCAATGAAGAATGTATTCGTCATTACAACGGCACCTTTGCCCTTATTAGTGATAGATCGCTATGCGCTCTTTATGCACCAGGAGGAAGAGATGCTTGTCGTGTAAGTATTCATGGAAAGGAAGAATGTACAGTCATCATCATAAGGTCGTCAATCCTAAGAGTGGTTGGACACGCACCTCCATTCTTTCCTATCCTGAGCTAATCTTCGCATTTCCCTAAAACTAGAACAACCCACATCCTTTACTATTTTCGAACAGTAATCTAATCTAGGTCTACCTCTAAGTACTCCTCTTAATTCTATTAATTAATTCTGCCTCTAATATGTCTCTGACTAGACCTTCATGCCTGAGAAGGTGTCATACCACGCTATCTCGCCTATCTTTGTATCTAACCTATCCCACGTTTCGTTACATTTTAGTTTTTCTAAGTCAATAGGTCTCCTACCTTTCCTCTTTTTCAGAATTTTTAATTTAATGTGGGACCAAATTTATATGCTCAGGTTTAATCACTTTTGTCAGAATGCTTATAACTAGTCAAAATGTGTGTAATTGGTGGTCAATATTCTGTCGAAAGTGCCAGATATGGACCGACATTTCGATTTCATTAGATCTCATCAGTACTCTGTTGAGAGTTCCCACAGAACACAGATTCGTCATTAATAACAGTAAGTTGCTTGATCTTTTTTCTGTTGGAACTGTGTCTAGCGTACTGGTGAGATTTATCAAAATCCCTATCCGATCGCGAAACAATCACTTCGGATAGACTGACCACTAAGTTTAGATTGGTCACATGGTCCTAAGACTGGTTGGACACGCACCTACACTCCTTCCTATCCTGAGCTAATCTTCCCATTTCCCTAAAACTAGAACTTACCACGTCCTTAACTATTTGCGAACTGTAGATCTACCTCTACTCCTCTTCCCTCTTGTTTCTGTTTCTAATATGTCTTTAACTAGACCTTCATGTCTGAGAAGGTGCACTACCAACCTTTTTCGCCTATTTCTTGTTGACTTCCATAGAGTCCTCTGTTCTCCTATTTCTTCTAATATCTCTTCATTTCTAACCTTCTCTATCCACGGTATCCTCATCATTCGCCTATAACACCACATTTCTAACCCTTTCTTTTCCGCCGCGTCTACGGTCCATGTTTCGCTCTTGTATCGTGCCGCGCTCTAAACATACACCTTTAACAATCTTTTTCAAACTTCTAAATTAATCGTTCACGAACGTAGAAGTGACTCCTTGTTATTGAAGGCGACTCGACCTTGTGCTATCCTTTGCTTTATATAGGTTCCCTAAATATTCTTTCCACCTATCTGCCTATTCCTCATTTTCTATCAACATGACCCCTGCCTCGTTTCATATACGTATTATTACTACTGTACTCTACTTCTCTAAAATTCTTTTCAATTATATATTGTGGCGGACAATTGTATATATTTTTTGTGAATATTTCTTTAGGATTGTTTTTCATTATTCCAAATTCATTTCATTTTAAATAATATTTCAATTCATTTCAATTTCTTATCTTGTAATTACCTTGTTTTCCTTTCAATCTAAACTCTATTGTTCACTTTTACCCAGAATTCCAACTTCAACCATACCTGCATGCACTCCCATACTAATATCTGGTTTTACTCTTAATTGCTTACTCTTGAACTCTATACTGCTTAATTCTACGTATTCCTAGAAACTAGTGTCTTCACCCTCTCTCTCACTACTTTTCCTTCTAGAACCTTCTGTCAAATCTACTAACAACCCTGTCCTATAAGTACTCCCAAAAATTCTTATCTTTACACAGTCTCTCGTCTACCACTTCTACTACCGTTCGTAAGTGCTTTTATCTACTCTGTTTTATTGTTGTTGTCTTTGTTATTGTTATTGTTATTGTTGTATTATCTTGTTCTTTTTGTCACTTTGTTCTCGTTTGTTTGTTTTACTCCTTGTGCCTTTTTGTTAGTTGTGTTTTCGTTGTTATTGTTATAAACTGTTACTCGTTATTGTTAGCATTTTCTTGGTATTTAAATAATATACACCAAAAGACACGAAAATACTATAAGCCTCATCTATTTTACCTAGTTCTTCTACTCCTTTCAACCTCATATCGATCCACTGTTCCTTAGCTGGTCTACACTTCCTAATTATTTCCCATTTTATCGCCTTATCTCTTTTCTACCCTTCTTCGTCTGTCCTGCTTTTGTATTTTGTTATCCAGGGTTTCCTACATTCGTTTTGTTTATGACTTAATACATCTGTAGCTATTGACTGTAAGCACGTTTTAATGCAGTTCCATTCCGTCTCATGTCCTTTAGTGTTTCGTCTGTCCACGTGGCTAGTCTATCCCGCGTTTCGCTACATTTTAGCTCAAGACGTCTTCTACCTACCCTCTTTTTCATAATTTTTAATTTAATGTACAGTAGAAGTCAATAATTGGATTCGACCATACCTTGGACCAAACGTATATGCTCAGGTTTAATCGCTTTTGTCAGAATGTCTATAACTAAACAAAATGTGCGTACTTGATGATCAGTATTCTGTCGAAAGTGTCAGATATAGACCGACATTTCGATTTCATTGGATCTCATCAGTACTCCGTTGAGAGTTCCGACAGAACACAGATTCATCATTAATAACAGTAAGTCGGTTGATCTTTTTTCTGTTGCAACTGTGTCTGGCGTACTGATGAGATTTATCAAAATCGCGATCCGATCGCGAAACAATCACTTCGGATAGACTGACCACCAAGTTTAGCTTAGCCACATGCTTTTAGCGCAAATGCTAAGCCGCGGGTTTAACTTGACAAGTCGACATCCTTACTAGAAAAGTAAAAATTTCCTACAGGTGGCGTGCACACTCTAAATGTACTTCTTCATCCAGCACTGTTTAATGGCAGCAGGAAGGCTGGTCTGTATTTTGGCGAAACTGTCTGAGGTTTACTGGTGAGATCCAATAAGATCAAATAGCACTGGCAGTTTCGACTAAATATCACTAATAAGGTATTGAATCCAGTAGGCGCTATACTTACACGTTACGTTTTAGATACGTTACAATTAAATTAGAGCTAACAAGTTTTCCATAAATTTGTGTTACAAGTCTTGTTTACCTGTTTTTTTGAAGTGAAGTTTCATTATCGACTATAAGAAGGAAAACTAGGTTATGAAACTGAAAAATGTAACGTCAGACGTCGCATCACACGCCACGTGTGACCCCTGGTGGATATGTCCAAAAGGAGTCATTTTAACAGGCTTCAGAAGCCAACCTGTTGGTAGCAGCCGATAATCCGAATATTGCCATTTTGACAAATTGTCACCGTAAAAGTTTTTGACAAAACTAAACTAATATTCCGCATTCCTCCCCACGAATTAAAGTTGTATTTTTCTGGTCTTTAGTAATTAGTTAATGCAATAGTTTAAGTCATTTTTTCTTAAATACTAGTATAGTATACGTACAATCTAAAGAAGTTTCACTTCTTAGGCATGAACACTAATACACGCTCGTCCCTTTCTTTTAGGGTGATTCTGGAGGACCATTGACAGTGAACGGTGTGCTTTATGGAGTGGTGTCTCAAGGTATAGGCTGTGCGGATCCCAGATACCCAGGAATTTACGCCAATGTCTCAAATTTACGCTCCTTTATCGAAGATGTTACAGGGCTGTAATTATTTTCATACCATTTGCATTTGTAAATGTTCATCGTAATAAATAAAGAACTTATACTGTTATAGCTTACGTTTATTTGAATGCACCTAAAGTTATATTACCGCATATTTTGCAAGAAATTTTAGGTCTACCTCTACCCCTCCTAACTCCTGTTTCTGCCTCTAATATGTCTCTGACTAGACCTTCATGCCTGAGAAGGTGTCCTACCAACCTATCTCGCCTATTTTTTATTGACTTCCATA